TAGCACTACGCGGGAACCCTTGATAGTTCGCTGTCATGGAGTGGTATATGTCACATCAAAGTCCGACTTTTGATGTAGCACTAAGCAGAAACCCTTGATAGTTCGCTGTCATGGAGTGGTCTACGTAATGTGTCTCAGAGTAGTGATGTTGCGTCATTACTACTTCAAGCAAGCCTTGCGAAGAGTATCAGTTCGAGTTGACGTGACACCTTTTGCCGACATGTAGAATCCGGTTCGTCTCGCTCTTGGCAATTCTCGGTCGGATTGCCTGTCGCGGGTAGCGACAGTCGTCTCAGGTAGACGTGACAGACGCCATTCCTGGACCTTGCTCTTTCAGTGCTTGTCGTTGGTATAAGAAGAGGCTCGTAGCGTGAAGTCAGCAGAGCAACGAGCTAAGTCTGAGTTGTTGTATCCAAGAGCTAACATCTGACGAAAATGACGTCGCTCAAATCGCTTACGGGTCCGACTGCAATGATCCTTTGTGTGCTGATTTTGTCAGGTGATTTATTGCTGCTTGTGTGTCCTGTGACTTTGCTTTGTTGGCTTTGTCACTTTCTTTTTGTGATTACCGGCCACCCCTAGACTCGCAGCGGTTCTTTAGTCACGGATTCATCGATTTTTTCATCTAATTGAATCCCTGCTTCTCAATCCCCAAATGGTGGCTGCAGGATCAACTGTGGCATTGGCATCTCGTGGCAAGGTGCTGAAAATCCGCAGAACCGCACAAGATGCTCATGAAACCCATGCCGGTTCGCTTGTCAGGCACCGCACTCTGAGCGACTCCATTCCAGCAGAGCCCATGCCAGAAGTTTCGTTCAACTCTCTGTCTAGCAGTGGTGGCGATGGGCTTAGCAGTGGCAGCAGCAGCAGCAGTGGAAACCAATCAGTTTCCAACAACTCTATTCCAGCACAGCCCCTGCCAGAAGTTCCGCTCAACTCTTCGTCTTACAATGGTGGTGATGGTCTCAGTGGTGGCAGTGGTGGAAATCAGTCGATTTCCAACAGCTCGGCTGTTTCCTCCCACCTTGGATGGCCATCACCTCCCAGTCCACCGTCGTCACCACCACCGCCACCACCGACATCGCTGACATCACTGCCATCACTATCTGTCAACAACCCCCTGTCAGGCATCTGGTCTTTCTTGACTGGATCACTCCACTCGGGAGGGCCGTCTCCTCCCAGTCCACCCACTGTCGCATTTACCCCACCAGTGTCATCACCGGTATCACCACCATCACTGCAGTCGCCATGTGTGAGCCAACCACTTTCAGGCATCTGGTCTCTTCTCCCGCCCTTCCTCCGCATCGGCAGTGGCAACAGCTGTAATGGTGACAGCAGCAGCGGCATTGATGGGAGGCAGCTGCTGCAGCGGCGGCAGCAGCAACGACAGTAACAGGGCGTATTGGTGGGGAAGTGGGGGAGGCAGCGGAGATGCTGACTGGACGCGGTGGCGGTGGCTTCGGCAGCAACGGTGGTGGTGGTGAGGAGGGGGTGGGGGGAGCGGCGGCGGCGTTGACTGGACGTGTTGGTGGGGAAGTGGGAGAGGCAGCGGATATTCTGACTGGACGCGGTGGTGGTGGCTTTCGAAGTAGCGGCTCCGGCCTCGATGTAGTTGCTTTTCCTTACACCAGGTTAAATGGACACAATGCCAGCAGCAGGGCCAGCCAGGCCAGTCGCGCCAGTCGTGCTAGCCGCGCCAGTTGTGCGAGTCGTGCGAGTCGTGCCAGCCGTGCAAGCAGGAATGCACGCCCTAGCCGCCTCAATTGATCTGAGCTTTGGATGTGCAACCTTGACTTTTGCTGCACGATGTCATTCTCATCTATAAGGTTCCTCCCTTGCATAAAAAGGTTGCTGATTGTACTGCCTTAGGAGGTGGCAGTTACTCTTACATACAGTAGGAGTTCGACCATTACATTCTGAACAGACCTGAAATGCATACCATTTGTGCAAGTGATCACAGTCGTGGAATACACGAAATGGACATATTGATGCCCTGGATTATGTCACAGGGATCCAAGAATGCTGGGTCTGCAAGTCAGGGCGTTTCTCCTGTCAGTAGAGTTTCGTACGTTCTGATTGTTACTCTGCGCGGTAAAATAGGTTTCAGTACGATAACTTCGTTTATGGATTGTCACACATTTGCTCAGTCCCAGACCTACTGTGAAAAGTCCCTAGAGTTTGGCGTGTTCACTCAGTAGCCAATCGTATGCTTGCAAGAAGCCCGCCGCAAAGCTCTCAGGATTCGTCCACGAAGCTCGATATCCTCAACAAGAGGATGCGAACAAAACGAATGAAATTATCGGTGCCACGTCGGTTATTGCGACGAATTCTCCAGGGTTTCCTGGATCCTTCTCCTTCGTCAGTCTGATCGTACGTCACATCACTCACCAGTCGCCGCCGACTTGTCGCAGTGCCGGGCCATCCTCCAGGCCAAATCCATTTTTCCTGACTCGGCAACAGCGGGCGGGAATACAGTCGCGCAAACTCGACCAGCCGGATGACGTGGCAAAGCGCCCCACGACTGCGCTGCTCACCAGGGCCCTTGGGATTGGTCGCGCGGGCCCCAGCCTGCCCCACCCTCCCCGTCCCTCCTTTCCCCCACCCCAACAACTCTGCTGTCCCACCTTGGCGGAAAATTTGTCACTGCTTCCGCCAGGTTCCTTTGTTCCCTAAAATTTCACATCTCTTCACCACACGCGCGCCACCCTTTCTCTTTCTCTCGAACCTTCCCTTGACCACTTACCTCGCTCAACCGCCTGAAAACTATGTCCACCTCCCTCAGCTTCTCTCAAAACCTTGTCCCACCCCACTGCTTCCCGTGTGCGTATGATGCCTCCTCACTTCTTCGTCTTCCCCTAACCTCTCACACGTATCCCTCCCGCTCCCCTCCCGCGTTCCTCTATTTTCGCTTACCCTGAACTCTTCCTCAGCAACTGCAGATTTGCATCAACTGCTTTTGTAATCCACTGCTCCCGTTTCTTAGCTGCCGACCACCAGATTTAGGAACCTGCTTTTCTTGGTTTTGGAACAGACCTTTATTCTCGCTCCTGTCTGCGCGACCTGTTTTGTGCGGTCTCCGCATAAAGCCGTTGCACGAGCTTTTCGTTATGAGCGTTAACCGGCGTTCTATCACCAAAAACATTCAGTGGCTCTTGACGACAAAGCCCTGCTGCGTTATAGTGTTCTCCGCGACACTTGCGTAGTAACTCGCGCGCAGTCCCCTTTGCAGCACAGCTGCGTCACATCCAATACAGGCCTGCTCCGAACCAATCACCCTGGTCCTTAACTCGTACATAAGGGCCTGCTCCGAACCAGCCGCTTCGAACCAACCACCCTGGTCATACATAAGGGCCTGCTCGGGCCGACTTTTGTGGTTCCTTAGAAGTCTGCTTCGAACCAAGCATCCTGGTCCCTAACTCGTACATGAGGGCCGTCTCGGCATCCCTCCTGTCTCCCCGTCGGCATCCTCTCGTCGCTCCCCTCCTCGTTCCCCTCCGCTCTCCCCCCCGCACTCCCCTCCGCACTCCTCTCCCCGCTCCTCTCCGCGCTCCCCTCCTGGCGTCCCAGCGTCTCAGCATCCTCCATGGCTCTCCTCGGCGCCCAACCCATCATCTCTTCTGTTCTTCTCTCAACCAACGCCCTAATCGCGGAAAAAAATCATTTGTTGAGAAAAAAGCCTCGTCATTCGGACCTCTCTGGTCTGCGCAGCGCCTTGTTCTACACAGGCAATCCAATACCCAGCCGCAGCAACAGGATTGTACAGGCAGCAGCCGTGACAGAATCTCTAGAGCATTCGTTGGCGAGTCGCTTGTTGGCGAAAAGAGTAGAGAGTTGTCATAGCTCGCGGCCGGGGTTATGTCCGCGTGGTTCGGGGCTCCATGCGGGTGGTACGGAACGATGTTTGGGTGGTTCGGGGCTAGGCTCGGGTAGTGTTTCCAGTGAATCCCACAGTGGCGTTTTTTTGGGGTCCGCAGTTCGTAGTTCAAGCTTTTCAAATGTCGCTCGCTTGTCGAGAGTTTCGCATCGGGTCGCAAACGTCGACGGGGTGTCGTCGCCTCGCGACTCATCCGAGGGATTTTTCTCGGCACGTACCGGCATCTCGTCGCCTCTTTGGTCGCCGTGTCTCCTCGCGAGCGTCGCTAGCGTTCGATCGCTTCGCACGTTACCATCATGTAACGTTTCGCATCCGTCGGCGCGGTCGTTCCAGTTCGCCTCGGCGATTCGCATAGGAACCCTTGGTCCGGTCGCAAGTACGTCGCACGCACGATCGTTCCGGCGATCTGCGTTTGGTACCCAATCACGTACGAGGACCGGCCAGCACCGTAACTCGTCTGCACCCATGTAAGTACTTACATCTGTTAGTGCCCTTCGAAAATATATATGTATATGTCATGAGGACCTCGGTGATTTACGAGACGTCTCAATGGTTGTCCGTGCCCTTGCCCGGCAGGACTCCGCGACGGGCGTTGAGGGGGCGGCGGCGCGCGCAGAAGAGCCGAGTCTCGGTGCAAAAAGCGGTGGAGGCGCGGGTTGAACAGTCGTGCGACCACAGCAGCAGCAGCGCCACTTGTGTGAGAGACAGCAGCAGCGGAAGCAGCAGCAGCGGCTGCAGCAACAGCTGTGTGAATGACAGCAGCAGCAGCAGCGGCAGCAGAGTTGGTTTTGGGAGCTTTACTAGCCAAGAAATGGCGGCGGGTTTGTGCGGTGCGATTGCAACGAACGGGGGAGCAGCAACAGCGGCGGCGCCGGGGGCGGGGGCGGTGCTTGACTGTGATATTAGCGGGGCCTTGAATTTAGATGCGAACTTCGTGCCTGGGGCTGATGACGTGGCGCAGCTTGAAAGAGTGCTGGCGCAAGCTGACGTGGCATCTGTTACAGAGTCTAGCGGACGAGCCGTCATTCCCGATGCTGATTCGTTTAACCCCTTGGGATTGCCGCCAGACGTTTTGGTAGTTCCAAATAACCTGGATGGGTGGTCATCCTCGTTAAAAAACGAATCAATGGATTCGCTACAGGATTGGGTGAACTGGTTCGAAGGGCGCGATTCTCAAGTAAACGTAGACAGAAGTGAGTCTGAGAGTGACACGTGGGGAATTGGGGAGTGGGAGAAGTGGGAGAGAGGGGTACCGAGTGTGGATTCTGAGGAGTTGTTTATTCCGGATGCCCTTCCGCTGCTGAGGGAAGATTCCCCGCTATTGGACGACTCGCAGCGGGAGCAGCATCAGAACCAGAGACGGAACGAGGTTGCGAAATCGGTGGAATTTCACACGCTGCAGCAAAACTTAGCTGATGAGGGGGGCGAGGAGCGGGTGGGGGCGGAGGTAGCGGGGGATTTAACATTGCAAGAGGCGTCGTCTGTGTTGGCTGCCGAGCCTATCCAGACAGCTGGACCTGCCGAACCTGCTGAGCCTGCCGAACCTGCCGAGGCTGCTCATCCTGCTGCTTTGAAGGGTGAGTAGCGTTGCGTAGGGAGGATGACAAGGCTGGTTCGATGTAACTGCGTTTTCTTCCCTTGCCTTTCCTTGTTCCTTCCTCCCTTTCTCCCTTCTCTTTTTTTTTTCCTTCTTTCCCCATCTCCATCATCCCTTTGTCTCCCCCTCCCTCCCAATCGCCGCAGCCCGTCTACTGAACACACGTCGTCAACTGCTTCTTTTCTCCCTTCCCTTTCCCCATTCCATCATCCCTTTGCTCCACCTCTTCCCTCACACTGCAGCCTTCTACTGGACATACGTGTTCAACTGTTTTGGCGAGCACTCGTGGCGGTTTGCGGGAGCAGCGCTGCTCGCGCTGCTGCATCACTCGCTGCTGCCCGTGGCTGTGGCCAGCTTCGTCAGCCAGGTGAGGCGCTTGCGTTGTGCTTACTCACGTGCACAGCACAAGTGCATGCTGCACTTGTCACTCGCTGCTCGCACTGCTGCATCACTCGCTGCTGCCCGTGGCTGTGGCCAGCTTCGTCAGCCAGGTGAGGCGCTTGCGTTGTGCTTACTCACGTGCACAGCACAAGTGCATGCTGCACTTGTCACTCGCTGCTCGCACTGCTGCACCACTCGCTGCTGCCCGTGGCGGTAGCCAGCTTCGTCAGCCAGGTGAGGCGCTAGCACCAAGTAGGCTGCTAGCTCTCGCGCACACAGCACTTGTGCAACACGAGTGGGCGAGGTAAAGCGTTGCTGCTCCGTCACTCGCTGCTGCCCGTGGCTGTGGCCAGCTTCGTTAGCCAGGCGAAGCCCTCCCCCCTCGCTCCCGCCCTCCCCTCCCCACCCCCCCTGTCTGCAACTGGTGGTATTACTGTGTGCGCCTCTACCGGGGGCATTTGAAACTTTATTTTATCACTCACACAGTAATACCATATTAACATACATAAAGTGTGTGCCTCCCCACACATTCCACTTCCTTTCCCCTCCCCACACATTCCACTTCCTTTCCCCTCCCCACCCTCCCCTAATTTCTCTTCTCCCCGATGCCTCCCCGTCTACAGTTGGTGGTATTTCTAGGCGCACCTCTGGTGGGAGAGCTCATGGACTCAGCTCCTCGGGTGCGTGCTTTCAGCCCCACCTCCCCCGCCTTCCCCTTCCCCACCTCACCCCTACCCTCCCCTCTCTCCCCCCTTCCCTCCCCATCTACAGTTGGTGGTATTTATAGGCGCACCTCTGGTGGGAGAGCTCATGGACTCAGCTCCTAGAGTGGCTGCGTTCAACACCATCTCTGTTGCTCAGGTGAGTTTTCAGGTGAATCTCCTGGTGATGCATGTGTTTTCTGTGTCCTCTCATATCTTCTGTGTTTTGTGATTGCCAAGGGCGGCGTTCCTCTCCTCTCCCTCATTCCCCATTACCCAAACCTGACCGTCCTATCCTCCATATAGACAGGCTTGTGCCACGGTTATTAGCAGCGGTCCCCGCAGCCACTCACTTCAGTCTTCCTTCCCTCTCGTTCCATGCCATCCCTACTCCCATCTTTCTCCGTTTTCTTCACTTGATTTATTCATACATACGCAGAGTTGACTTTTGAGTCGACTCAAAAGTCTTCTCCGTTTTCTTCACTTGATTTATTCATACATACGCAGAGTTGACTTTTGAGTCGACTCAAAAGTCTTCTCCGTTTTCTTCACTTGATTTATTCATACATACGCAGACCACAGCCATGGTGGTAGCAGCACTAGCCACCATACACGCCATTCAACTCGCCGCCCCAGCTGCAGCAACAGCCACTGCTGCAGGCGCAGTTGCCACGTCAGCCGCCACGTCAGCTGCCGCGTCGGCTGCCACGTCAGCGCTGGCTGCTCTTCCGGGCACGGCAGTGCTGCGGCAAGTGTGGTTCGTGGTGCTGGTGGTGGCTGGCGCTGTTGAGAGGCTCACTGGCCTGGCGTCAGGAGTGGCGTTCGAACGGGACTGGGTGATTGTGGTGAGTGTGTGTTCGTGAGCGTGAGAGGGAGTGTGAGAGTTGACACGTGGCTGTGAGCATGGGTGTGAGTGCGGGCAAGAGGGTCTGTGATTTGTTGTGCTGCTGGTGGTGGCTGGCGCTGTTGAGGGGCGCACTGGCCTGGGCCCTGGAGTGGCGTTTGATAGGGACTGGGTGATCGTGGTGAGCGTGAGTGTGAGTTCGAGTGCGAGTGTGAGTGTGAAACCTGTCGGTTTTTTTTTCTCTTCCCCGTCTCGTTACACCCTGTTGTACCCGTTCCGCAGCTCAATTCGTACCCACTTCTCTTCCCTCATCCCTTCCTTTCCTCCTCTTCCCTTGTCCCTTTGACCTTGTTGTGTCCGTGTCCCAGCTGGCTGGTCAGGATCGACCCGTGGCTCTGGCCAATGCCAACGCCATGCTGAGGAGGGTGGATTTGTGCTGCGAGGTGAGGGGGGTGGGTATTTTGTGAGCTAACAGTCTGTTTCCGCAGTGCACATCAAGGGGTGGTGGCTCTGGCCAATGCCAACGCCATGCTGAGCAGGGTAGACCTTTGTTGTGAGGTGAGGGGGAGTGGGTGGGTGTTCATTGAGGTAGCAATCGGTTTTGGGTTGTGATTGGACTGTGGCTCTGGCCAATGCCAACGCCATGCTGAGGAGGGTGGGCTTGTGCTGCGAGGTGAGGGGGGTAGAGTGTAGGTGGCTCTACAGTCGATAGACTGAGCATGGCATTGGCATTGTCTATTAGCTGTTCTTAAGCTCTGCTCTGCCCAACGCCAATGCCAATGCCAATGCCAATGCCAATGCCATGCTCAGGCCCAGGGAGGTGGGTCTGTGGTGTGAGGTGAGGGGGGATGGGTTGCATCGTCGAGCAAGAAATCCGATTTCATGTGGTGGTGCAACAACATATAAGGATGCCTCTGCCCTGGGCCGTGGCTTGTTGATGCTCCCTCAACCTCGTGTATTCCCTGTTTGCCAGTCCTTCTCTCTCCATTCTCTCGGCTCACTTTCTTGTGCCCGCTCTCTTTTCTTCCTCCTCTCCTTTTGCCACTCCCTTCCCTCTTCCGCTTCAGGTAGCAGCACCACTCATCTTTGGCTGGCTTATTGTTGCCTTTGGCCCACTGATTTGTGCCAGAGCATGTGTTGCCCTCGTTGCTCTCTCCCTCCCTGCCCTGGTACGTCTCTGTTTCCTGCCCTGGTATGTCGTTTGCTCCTTTTACCATCTGATTTTTAGGTGTAATAATCACTTCAACCCAAAGTACCCCTCATCGTTCTCTTGCTTTCTGCACTGGTATGCTTTCTGCTGTCTGCCTTTGCCTCCTGACTCTTGAGGCCTCCCTTCCTCTCTTCCTGTTGCCCTCCTCTTCTCCCCTTCACCCCCTCCCCCCAGCTCGCCCTCACCACGCTCACCAACCGCCTCTCCTACGGAGCACCCAGCAGACCTCGGCCTATCAAGGAACAGTGCACGTGATTGAAGAAGTGTTTTGAGACGTCTCAAAACACTTCTTCAATCACGAGACCTCGGCCTATGAAGGAACAGTGCTTTAGGTTTGTTAACACAGCGTTTCACCTCTCTCCTCCCCCCTCCTTTTCACCTCACCCCTCCCCTTCACCCCCCCAGCTCGCCCTCACCATGCTCACCAACCGCCTCTCCCACGGAGCTCTCAGCAGACCTCGACCTGAGAAGTCTGAGAATGATTGCCAAAGCGGAGATAAGACTTCAAACGAGTGTAATGGGAATGTTCCCATGACTGATCTAAAGTCGAAGCAGCATAAGCCCTCCGCGTCCCCCGCATCGTCCTCACTACTCCACTCCTATGAGGGGTCCTATGAGGGGTCCTATGAGGGGTCCTATGAGGGGTCCTATGAGGGGTCCTATGAGGGGTCCTATGCACTTCACTCCTTCTCCCCTCCATCCTCGCCCCTCCTCCCCCTTCTCGCCTCGTCTGCTTTCGGCAGCAGCGCTCCAGCTACAGGAGTAGCACCTTCCTTGGCACTATGCTGCCACTGCTCGTCCTTGCACCCTGTTCCCGGGTCACACGGGCCACACACATTGTACCGTTCATGCTTGCTTCCCGGGCCTGTGCCGCAGAGTGCTGCGATGACATCACTGGGTTTAGCTGCAATGACAGCACATTCACATACAGCCGATCACAGGCACACGCTGCCACGCGCGTGCAGCGCTGGTCGCGATTGCGGTGCTGCTGCTGCCGCCCCTGCTGCCACTGCCACTGCCCCTGCTGCTGCTGCTGGTCCCGCCGCTGCTGCCCCCGCCGCTGCTCCTGCTGTTACTGTTGCTGCAGATGGTGATGGGAAAGCGCTGGATAAAGCATTGGAGGGGTTGGGGAGAGTGACCAAGACAGCAGGAAAAGCACTCAATACAGCAGCAGCCGGGGTGGGGAAAGTGGCAGAGGCAGCAGGGAAGGGGTGGCGGTGCTACGTGCAGCAGGCTGTGATGCCAGCCAGTGCGGCCTACGTGCTGCTCTTCTTCAATGCTGTGCTGTCTCCCGGGGGCCTCCTTACGTCGTTCCTGTCGCAGCATGGTAAGTACACTGGTTGTGTTGTATGCTGTTGTTCCCACACTCATGGTGAGTGCATGCCCGCCAGTGCGGCCTACGTGCTGCTCTTCTTCTATGCTGTGCTGTCATCGGGGGCCTTCTCATGTCGTTCTCAACATGGTAAGAATCTGTCTGTCATGCCCAGTCATCTCATCTCGAGTCATGCCCAGTCATCTCATCTCGAGTCATGCCCAGTCATCTCATCTCGAGTCATGCCCAGTCATCTCATCTCGAGTCATGCCCAGTCTTTAATGAAGATTTGTCTCAAACTGGCTCTCTCGATAACACTCTAAGCTAGCGCACACCCAGGCTCCTTCCACCATCACTTCATGGAGTTTGTTTCGTTGGTCTAGTACAACACGAGATTGATGGAAGTAAGGCCTTTGCAGCCCACCTGTCCTCTCTTGACAGCTTCTCACGTCAATCCTGTCGCAACATGGTAAGAATCTGTCTGTCATGCCCAGTCATCTCATCTCGAGTCATGCCTACGTGCAGCAGGCTGTGATGCCCGCCAGTGCCGCCTACGTGCTGCTCTTCTTCAATGCAGTGCTGTCACCAGGGGGGCTTCTGACATCTTTCCTCTCCCAACACGGTAAAAATCTGCCTGCCTCGTCTGCTAGTTACGCCTTGTCATGCCCGCCAGTGCGGCCTATGAGTTGCTCTTCCTCAATGCTGTTCTCTCGCCTGGACGGATCCTCACCTCTTTTCTGTCACAGCATGGTGAGTATCCTCCTGCCTAGTCATCCCTTCCCATGCCTACATGCCTGCAGCAGGCTGTGCTGCCCGCCAGTGTAGCCTACGTGCTGCTCTTTTTCAATGCTGTTCTCTCGCCTGGAGGGCTCCTCACATCCTTCCTCTCGCAACACGGTGAGTGTTCAAGGGAGTCATCATGCCTACCCATGCCTACGTGCACCAGGCTGTCTGTCATGCCCGCCAGTGCAGCCTACGTGCTGCTCTTCCTCAATGCAGTGCTTTCGCCCGGGGGAGTGCTCACATCCTCCCTTCCTTCCGTTCCTTCCCTTCCCCGTTTCCCCTTCCCCGTGTCAGTGATAGGGGCGTTCAGGGGTGCCTCTGCCGCGACGTCTCATTATCTCTTTCTCCCCTCTGCCGCCTCCTCTCTCCCCTCTCCCTGTCTTCCCACACGCACACTACCACGCGTGCAGATTTTAGGGGCGTTGAAGGGCGCCTTATACCCTCCCTTCCTTTTCCACTCACATATTAATCCCCCTCTTCCTTTCCCCCTTCCTTTCCCCCTTTCCCCAACTACCAGGCGTGCAGATGTCAGTGATAGGGGCCTTCAGGGGCGCCTGTGCTGCCACGGGATTTGCCGCCACCTTTGTTTCGCCACCGCTCGTGGCACGTCTGGGTGTGCTACAGGTGCGGTGCGATGCAGTGCGGTTCTAGAAGGGTGCAGGGCTGTGCTGTAGCGGTGCAGTGAGAAGGGAATGACTGTGCTGCCATGGGCTTTGAGGCCACCTTAGTTTCGCCACTGCTCGTGGCACGTCTGGGTGCGCTACAGGTATTGTAGTGCAGTGGGGTGCTCTGCAGTGCAGAGTGGTGCAGTGTGGTGCAGTGCGGGGCCATGGGTTGTGGCGGGGTGCTGTGTGGTACAATGGTGTGCAGTGGGAGGCGAATGGACTGTTCATGCTGGCAGTGCTGCTCTCTTCTTCCATGCATCCCTCCCTCCCCACCCTCGCATCTTTGCCCTTCTCCCCTCTCTCACACACGCTCCCACACCCCCCCAGTCCCATCACTCCCCCAGTCCCATCACTCCCCCAGTCCCATCACTCCCCCAGTCCCATCACTCCCCCAGTCCCATCACTCCCCCAGTCCCATCACTCCCCCAGTCCCATCACTCCCCCAGTCCCATCACTCCCCCAGTCCCATCACTCCCCCAGTCCCATCACTCCCCCAGTCCCATCACTCCCCCAGTCCCATCACTCCCCCAGTCCCATCACTCCCTCCTTATCCACCTCTCCCTTGCCCACTCGTCATTCCAAGATGTCCCGCACAGTTGCCATCGTCTCATCTCTCTCGCACACGTGCACATGCACTCTCCTGCTTTTTACTCCCCCGTTCCCCTTTCATCCCATCAGGCTGGCAGTGCTGCACTTGTCTTCCAAGCCCTTCTCCTCTCCTGGACGTTGCAGGGAGTTCTTGAGAATTCTCAAAAACTCCCTGGCAGTGCTGCGCTTGTCTTCCAAGCCCTTCTCCTCTCCTGGCCCCCGTAACCCGCTCACATTCACACACGCACTTTTCTCTTACTTCCCCTCCCCCCGAACCCCCTCTCCACCCCAGGCTGGCAGTGCTGCTCTTGTCTTCCAAGCTCTCCTCCTTGCCCTCGCAGTGGGAATCTTCTCCTCTCTCTCACACTGCCCTCCGGTGCTGCAGCAGGGGCTGATGCTACTCTTCCTCTTGCTCGTCGTGAGTCTCTCTCTCACACACGCCCTATCTCACTCGCTCAAACACATTCTCTCTCACACACACACCCTCTCTCACCCAACACACTTTGTTTCACGAGTATGACGTCTCTCATGCTGCCCTCCAGTGCTGCAGCATGGGATGCTGCTGCTCTTCCTCCTGCTAGCTGTGGGTCCACTCTCTCTCTGCTCAATCCTTCACTCTCGCACATACACTCCCTCGCGCTGACCTTCAGTGCTGCAGCAGGGTGCTCAATCTTTATTATTATTGTTACTATTATTATTATTATTCCTTTTTTTATTTTCAACAGATTCACTCTCACACATGCATGCTGCCCTTCAGTGCTACAGCAGGGGGCTCTCAGCATCTTGTATGCTTGCTCTCGCCCCTCATTTCCCCTCATCACCCCTCGTCACGTCTCATCACCTCTCACACCTGCTCCATTCCCGACCCATGTTCCCTCCAGGTGCTCTTTCGAGTGGGCCACTGGACATTTGAGATCATCACCTGTCATCATCTCTCATCACCTCTCATGACCCTCTCATAACCTCTCATAACCTCTCGCAACCTCTCATTACCCTCTTATCCTCCAGGTGCTTTCCCGAGTGGGCCATTGGACGTTTGAAATCGTCGACTCTCAGATCATCCAAACAGCCATCCCCCCCGCCTCGGCCAATCTCATCGGAACCACCGAAATCGCCCTCGCCAGCCTGGCGGAGCTACTAATGCTAGGAATCGCCATAGTCGTTCACGATCCTAAGCACTTTGCGGCTCTCGCTGCCATGTCCATGGCGGCTGTTTTTGCTGCGGCTGGGGTTTACTGCTCCTGGCTGGCTCGGCCCGACCCGAGGATTCAGAAGCTGTTCCCGAACCAGCCGGAGGTTCGGTGGGGAGAGGTGTTTGGGAGGTGGGGGAACGGAGGGGGGAGGAAGTGAGGTGCGTGTGTGGCTGGGATATTGAGATGGAGATGTGTTGAGAAGGGAAGAGCTGTTGATTGGTGGATGTGCTGCTGCTGGCGCCGGACCTGTTTGGTCCGGAGGTCAAGTGCTTGCCGAGCCTGAGCTTCGGATCACACTGGTTCGAAGGTGAGAAAAGGCTCGGGGAGCAGCGGTGAGCTGTCGACTGTTGAGTCGGCTCAAAAGCTATTGGTGCCTGCTGGTGTGGGACGTGACTGCTGCTGTAGGTGTCTGCTGGTGTGACTGACGCTGCTGCTGTCTGCTGGTGTGAGAGTGACACTGTGAGCTGGTTTGGAGATCTTGGTGGTGTGACCGAAGCTATTCGGTCTGGCTGAGAGGTCTGGGGACTGCGGGCTGCTGTTTGGTGTGCAGATTGAGTTGCCGGTCCTGCTGGTGTAACAACGGCAGCAGCAGTTGCAGAGGCAACAACAGCAGCAGCTGTAACGGCAGCAGCAGCACCAGCAGTAACGGCAACAGCAGTGGCAGCAATGGCGACAGCGATAGCAGCAGCTATGTCAACAGCAGCAGTAGTATCATTACAACAACAGAAGCAGCGGCGGCGGCAACAGCAGTAGCATCGAAACAGAAGTAGCAGCAGCCGCAAAAGCAACAGCAGCAGCAGTGGCAACAAGAAGCTTTAGTAGCAGCACCAGCACCAGCACCAGCAACAAGAGAAGCAACAGCAACAGATGAAGCAGCATCAGCATTGGAACGACAGCAGTGTCATCAATCAGCAAGCATAGATACATCACTTGCAAATATTGCAGCATCAGCAGTAGCAGAAGCAAGAGACACAACAGCATTAACAGCAATGGCAGCGCAAACATCGACAACACGAGCAGCATCAACACAGCAGGCATGCAAGGGAAATTGCAGCACTGATCGAAGTCCTTTGATTTGAAGCAAATGGAGCAAACAGTACCAAGCACAAGTCCTTAGCTGCAAGCCAGCATGACTGCTACAAGCAGCTTCCCAACATAGAAGCCCAGCTGTTGCTGGTGGGCACCACTCATGCCATTTCTGCCATGTCAGGTTTGTATTGACATCGGATGTAAGGAAGCAACAGCGCCTATGTCTGTGATACATTGGCTGGTCAATACTGGTACTGTTGTATTTGCAACTGGGGAGGAAAGGCGCTGGTACATGGGTTTTGAGAAGCAGAAGACTTTGACTCGAAGATTTCGAATAACATGCTTGGTAAACCAGCTACCAAAGATCAATTCCCCAGGGTTTAGCCTCGAAATCACTCAGGAAATGCCAGGCACACAACTAAGCAGGTGATGCCCAGGTTGCATTACAGATGGATTAGTTATGTTGGACTTGCAGGCACTGTACTTACTATACGTGGTTCAATATCAAAACTGCGGCTAGCTGGACTGCGATAGGTCTCAACCAACCTCCCAACCAATCTGGTCACGTTTGGTCATAAAACAAGAGTGGCTGGCTGCTAGCTTCGACCAAGCAAGCACCTTTACTCAGCCCCCAACCGAGGCAACCAATCAGCCACGACGCGGCGCCGCCGTTCTTTCTCCCCCAAAACAACCAAAGCAGTCAGATTCATGCTTTCGGCTTGGTTTGGTTTGAAGGTGTTTGGATTTGGTCGGGATTTACGGGCAGAGCAACTCGAACCTGATCGTGTTACGTCCAAAATTAGATTCTTCACACGACACCCAATTTTTTCTCAAGTGAGACTGGCAATTTTCAAAATACTGTATGGGGCAAATGGGGAACAAACCCATAATCGAGGTGGTAGGTTCACCCAACCACAGGTTCAACCCAGCTTGCAACGTCATTCGTGGTTGAGATGAGGAAACGCCTAGCCATTCACCTTCGAAAATCCCTGGTCTCAACAATTCACCCTTAATGGTAAAATTGCGCGACAGGCCGACGTTTTTTAATCCTATTGACCAAGATCGCACCGCAAGTAGGGCGACCGAATCCCTCCCAGCTGAATCGATCTACATGCGCGTACGCGATATTGACAACCAATTCAATGTATAGGCACTGGTGGGTTTTCTAGTTACTGTTTCGCATGGGATAATGTTTGCCAGGTGGTTTTCGTGTTTTCGTAAAAAACAAGGTCGCAACTGTGGCTACATTGCCGTGACCTTACAAGTTGGGTTTTTTAGTTTATTGAGAAGCACTGGTGGACAAAATTCTCTCCGAAGGCACTGTTAGCACTACTAGGGACTAGTTCCGTGGATTTCCAACATGAGAGGGTTCACTTATTGCGCTCGTTAGGAAATCCAATACCGATTGGTCAAAACGGTTAACAAACAGACGATGATCGTTTGTATAGAAGGTCGCCGTCCATGTCGACCGGTCGACTTCACTTTTTTCAGGCAAAAAATAATATACCCTCTTAGGTGGTATGCCATTTAGGAAGTCATCAACCCTAAACACCATGCGGTAAGGTGTATAGGGTTTATGCATTCCCATCGATGCATTTTTGGGAGGACTCAACCCTAAGCATGGGATCCCTTTCTGGTTAGGGTATATAGTTGTCCAGACGTATTTTTGGGAGGGATCAACCCTAAACTTGCCGCATATTGTTTATGATTGATACATCCCTGAACAAATTTTGTGTCATTTTTCTACCAATCACGTTTGGAGTTCCTAACCAGCATAATAACTAAACGTGCTCATATTAAAAGTGCGTGTAAATATTATCCGGTAGCGCCAACAGAACCTTCGGAGCAAATTTTGTCCGGTAGTACTTTTCGATAAATTTACAAGTTTCAGCTGTTTTGTCTGTTTCTGATGGCGCAAAAATGTTCGGCCATTTTCATGTGCTTGCAACTTAGTCGGGAAAAACAGCTCACGTGCATGCTATCCCGTCGCACTTCTCCATTTATTGAACTCCTCGTACATATCCGTTACTAAAAACACTGTTATGTCAGGAGATGCAAAACGTGTAACACAAGCAGCACATGCAACACATAAATCGGCCTAGCAGAGAAGCCCGCAAAGATAAAATACAACTCTTGGGGAACATGGACATTGTTAGGAATGGATCAATCCTAAATATGGGAACAATTTTGGTGTTTAGGGTTGATGTTCTATAAGGCAGTAAAAAAAAAAAGTAATAATAAAAATAACTTGGGAGCCTGGACTCGTTTTTTTAGAAGATATCAACTTTAAAGCAGGGAACTGCCCTGGTGTTTGGGGTTGATTCCTCTCGAGTCTTATGCATTTCCAATTGGGTTTTATTTGTTTTTTTCCGTTTTTAGTCATGCCTATTGCGATATATATTGACCTTGTTCGCAGTAACGCTACAACTGGCGTGGTTGGATGACGAGTTCGTGCGAGAGCTGCACCAGTTGGCGTCAGTCGCATGGGTAGCACCTCCTTGCAGAACAACAATTGTCATGGCAGAGGTGTAGAAACAATAACAACAGGGGGAGAAACACGACGGGATAGCATGCACATGAGGAGCTTTTCCCGACCCTGTTCCATGCACCTGAAAATGGCCGAAAAAGGTTTCGTACGTGTGTCACATTTTTTTTCTACATACTTATTTTTATTGCCGTGTGTCAATCGCAAAACTTTGAAACATCTAAGGAGCTCTGAATTTAAGCAGGGGCCCAAAATAAATTAACCTCTAAAGGCTGGAATACAATTCGGGACACATCAACCCTAAACATGCAAAGCATAGTGTTTAGGGTTAATTTCTTAAATGTGGTGCAATTCGGGAGGGATCAACCCTAAACACAGGAACTATCAAGGTGCTTAGTTCATTTTACACCGTATAAAACACCAGACAAAATAAAAATAGCTTAATATAAGCCTTCTCTGTTCGACCAGACTGAAGTGACGTAACACGTTGCAAATTTTGTCTTTAATGAAATGATCGAAACCACAAGCTGTAATCACGTGATTCTGCCTGTAAAACCAAATGGCACCTGTAACGTCAAGGTTCCATCGTTCGGAGCATGGAATAAACGGGGAGAAGCATGTAGGTCGATCCATTTGGACGAGGTTTGGTCGCCCTACCTGCGGTGCGAGCCTCGTCGATGAGAGTAAGAAAAGTTTAAGCGCTGGCACGTCGCGCGATTTTTCCTCAGACTGCTCGAGGCTCTAGCTACGCAGGGTTTAGGCCCAGTCACATCCATACCTGGTTCTTCTAGAACCAGTGACCGAGCCTGCCTGGTCTCGTAACAACAGCGGCTCAGGCCCGGTAAGCACCACTTCCAACCAATGGTACAAGCAGGACGGCGTGGCAAGCCAAATCTCTGGCCTAATCCCGAACCGTAATGTCCAAACGAGCCGTTCACCAAAGCTGGACTTCGAAATCTGTCCTCATTGAACACCCCACATGGGAATTGGGATTCAAGCTCCTGGCTACACAATCTACAAATTCTATAAATTGCACTTCCAATTCTATATGCACGACAGACATTGCTTCTCGATTTTCCTGACAGAATCTACATCCTACTTCCAAGGGTGAAGTTTTCCCACACAGCCAGCATGAGGACTTCCGTTCTCCTCAGCGCGCTTGTTCTGCTCGCCGCTGTGTTCGTCGATGCTAATGCCGTCCCTGGTAAGGATTTTTATTCCCATGGATTTCGTGAACTAGTTGAAGTGCTGATTGCGCAATAGTTTCTACATCAACTTAGACTAACTTCACTGGACTTATACTCTCGCAGAAGATGTATCAACGATCATAGAGGAAGTCGAGCGCGTCCTGAAGGAGGAAACCCCTGGACCGTCGTGCATGGAGGAGTTCAAGAAAAGCCGCAAGGAGTGCGTGAGGGATCACATGTGCGCAACGGACGAGTGCAAGGAGAAGACCGACCGCTGCATCGCCAAGGCGTACAAGCGCTTCAAGATCTGCAAGTTCCCCCCGAAGAAGCCGGCGCCCCAGCCGCCGAGTTGCAAGAAGCTGTGCAAGATGCTTTACAACAACTGCAAGAAGGAGAACAAGGGCAGCTGCGGGATGAAGTACAACAACTGCATTATGAACAACTGCTCTTAGTGGGTGTCGCCGCGCATTTTCGACACCACTTGAATTTCGGGACCTCGTGATGGGAATAACGAGTTTGGGAAAGGCCCGTTGCACTGTGGTATCAACAAGATTTTTGCAAGGGTTGGGAAAGGGGAAATTTTATTGTGGGGTGGGACTTAAGATGTTGGGTTTGGACTCAAAAAAATGCATGTAAGGAGGGAGATACCAGGTCACATGTGTTCTCAATTTTCTACTGGATGTAGGGGGCTGTAGGTCTGCTGGTTTACAAATATAATATGAAAGGTTTCAGGAATGTGAACAATTTCGTTGAGCAGATAGCTTTTGGAGCCGCATAGCACGACCTACCAATGTGATAGTGAAGTAAAATATGGGGCACCATGTGATTCAAAATATAATTGAGAGTAGGCGGTGTAAGCTAATTTCGGATTGCCTTCTTGTTACATTGAAGTAAGCTTGACAGATAATCGGGTGTACGGAGTGGTGCGAAAGTCGAGTCTGGTTCTGGCCTCTGTGTTACTTCTGTCCTTTCGAAATTCTCCTGACCACACAATGCTGGTCAAGTACCGTCAAGTGTCTGAGCTGACCTCGAGGTTCGACCTCCAAAGCGATATGGCGCTAAATACAGTTTCACAGCTTTTTGCAGGGAAAACATTTGCGGGCACGAGTTGATGAGTGTCCAAATGTTCGGTGTAGATAGATTTCCCCTTCACAGGCGGAATCATGGGTGTATCAACACGAACCTTCTCCTCTACCACGCTTGAAATATTATGATATCACCCTGATTGCATGTCTTGTCAGGTGCCCTCTCATGTCGAGTGCAACAATTCCACCTCAAGTTGTCATCTTGCTCTTGTTCCCTTCAATCCCAACAACCCCTTTTGACCCCCTTCCAGATCATACAATGTCTGACCACAACCCCTAACCTGGTTCCTATGGCACCACAGACCTTCCGAACCAGTCTTCCAGGTTGTCTCATCGCTTGGTAGGGGCCAGGCCGGGGAAGCTGCACTTCAGACCAATCGGCCCAAGCGGCGGAGCTCCCAAGCCAGAATCTTGCCCGAAAACGGAACTAGAATGTCCAAACGAGCCGCTAACCAAAGCTGGCCGTAAAAAAGCGGGCGTTCCCGTTTCCGCATTTCCTCCCACGGATTTCAGCCCCCAGCAGCAGCATTTCGGTACGAAATAAATTCCAGGCCAACTTATTCATTAACAGGAAATACCACCACTAGTTGATCACCAGTGACCATAGAACAGTCTGAGAGTTCTTGCCTGCAGGCAGTATGAAGACTTCCGCCCTCCTCTGCGGGCTTGTCCTGCTCTCCGTTCTGCTCCTCGCTGTTGACGCTATACCAGCTGGTAAGTTTACATAGACCCTCTTTGGGGAAATAAAGTCCTTACTATTCAGCGAGGCTCCTTTGCAAGCAATGCTTACACACTTTTTCTGCCAAGTCACGAATAACGTCGTGTCTTCGCGTGCAGAACGTGTCCCTTCTTTGGGGAACAGGCGTGTTCTGAGCCGTGACGACTCGTCGTGCCTGGGCAAATTCAAGAAAAGTCAGTCGAATTGCAGGAGGGATCATAAGTGCTGCGACCATAGCGACTCGTCGTACGACAGCTACGAGTGCACGCGGAAGACTGACAGGTGCGAGGCGAAGGCGTACAAGAAATTCAAAACTTGCAAATACGGCGACAAGAAGCCGTCGTCTAGCTGCAACGACTGGTGCAAGTACGTCAAGAAGCAGTGCAGGGACGACCACGATGACGAGTGTGACTACAAGTACAAGCGCTGCAAGAACGATTGCTGAATAGAACATGTATGACTTCTTTGGAGGGCCTTCTATTGCTGGTTGTAGCTGTGTGATGACAGGATGAGCATTTGGATGTGATGTGGTGAGTGGTAATAAAAAATTTGTTTGATTGGGCATAATCTAGTTGTTGCATTGGTGTGATGGCTTGCATGTTGTACACAACACTATCAGTCGAATAGAAATGTGACTGTTTTGTGAGTTTGAACGAGGAGGATAACGTAATCAGACAGTTTGTTGTAAGTGGCCATTGGAACATTTTGCTTCCCTTTCTACTTTTAAATATGAGAAAGGCAGTATCGAAGATGAGTATATCGCACCTGCAAGCCGAGCCGCTAACCTTCCGCCGTCAACAGAGAAGCCTCCCCCCCCATTGACTTTTTACTGTACTTCAATTCCATCCATAGGTCTGCCAAGCCAAAGCCACTTTCAGCCAGTGACGCGCGCCGTCTTTTGAACAAAGCGGCCAGCTTTGATCCCGAGCTTTTTCAAGCCCAGGTTTGGTGGGAGGTTGGGGAGGAGAGAAGCTGATAGAATTTCAGAGCAGATACACCTATTGTGGCCGAAGCTACACACGAGCCTAGAAGTTATGGGTCACAAGTCCAGGTCTCTTTACCGAACGTGAGAGATCATCCGAACCGCCACCAGGCTGCCGCATGTGTCGCCACGCAATCGCTTCATCGAATTTGCCTCAAATCTTGCCAACACCACAATTAGCCCCTACCGAACCTCCCCCTTCGCGAATCTCCCCCCTTCACCAGAATCACCCCATCCCACCATACAACTAGAAAAATCTGCCCCCGATTGCCTTTAAATCAGCAGCAACTCTCCAAAAGTCACACATTCGACCAGCTTTTCATTAGTCATCGAGAATTCGGCCATCGCCTGTGCCCCGTCAGTTGTGTCAGCTTTCGGCGTTTGCCAGCATGAGGACTTTCGCGTTCCTCTCCGGGTTGGTTCTGCTATCCGCACTACTGCTCGCCGTAACCTCGGCGCCTGTTGCGGAGGCGAACGCAGTTTCCGCGCCCGATACCGCTCCTGCTGTCGCTGGTAAGCATCTCTCGCCGAAGTATGCGGTACAATGTAACCTACCGACGCTTTGGCGTGCAGAAAATGCAGGGGTAGAAAAATCTGTTCATGGTTACGCACTGTGTCCATCCGTGGGAAAATCGACTTCATGATCCGTCCATGTTTTGTATTTCTATGTATTCTAACAAGCCTCCTTATCTTTGGTTGCAGAGCTTCTCCCTGCTCTGGAGAGCGATAGGCGCATTCTCCACGACGACGACGACGACGACGACGAGCCGTCGTGCCTGGACAAGTACAAGAAGCGGTATGCGCAGTGCGAGAAGAACGAGAAGAAATGCGAGGATAAGGCGGAAGACGAAGACGACGAAAAGGTGTGCGAAAAGAAGTCCAAGACTTGCGAAGCGAAGGCGTACAGGAGCTACAAGTCGTGCAAGTACGGCAAGTGGGGCTGCAAGGACTGGTGCAAATATTACAAGCGCAAGTGCTACTCCAAGAAGAAGAGCAACTGCGAGGAGAAGTACGAAGACTGCAAGGAGGACTGCTAGATGCTCGTGTTCTTTGCTCACTCACAATCCGCTGAAGGTCCAGATCGCGAATCTGAATCAAGGACTCCTGGGATTCACTCTAAATTTATGGGTTACAAATGTGATTGGTCGTTTGGTTTGGTAGGAAGATTTGAGTGTGGGTGGGTATCTGGATGGGGGACGGGGAATCTCTGGTCACGGGGGAGGAGCTATCGGAGCTTGGTAACAGGATGCTGCACCGAATGTAACGTTGAGAGGTGAATAAACATGGGTTCTTTGCATTCACTTGTGTGGGAAGCTACCAGCATTCCCTGTCGATTATCGTGGACGATCCACGTAACCTTTCTCACCCTTGCCCGCTCGCGCTCTTCCCGTAGTAGAATGCAGCAGGCCTATTGACCCTATCAAGAAGGGCTCGTCTTTAGACTTCCAGGCCGCGGCGCCACACTCAACGCGCGGTGTGGGCCGGAAATCCCGTCCAAATTGAAACATCCACCCCAGCCAATGCGTTGCGGACATTAGCGAGAAGGTTTTTCACTGGGAAGATTTTTCACTGCCCGCTGGGTAGATTGCGCTGCGGTGTCTCCACATCGCTGCCGCCTCCTCTGAGAGAGACTGAGACTATCTACTACACTGAGCGCCGCTGCGCATATTGAGCGAGAAAGCTGCCGTCCTGGCAGCGCTACTACACTCGGTCGTATCGTACTTTCTCACCAAACCCTCAAGCACGACCTAGTTCCCGTTTCACTGCTTTTTTATTTCCTCCCCCATTTCCGAGGCATGGCGGATTGATACCGTACTCTCCTCCACCTTTCGTAGAGCTCGTGGACTGGCACTAGGAGTTACCAGATCCACATTGACCAGCTGGGCGCAGTGTAGTGAAACGCACTACCAAGTGTTGTGAATGGCACGCTACTATGCCACTCCAACCCCTTCCCCTCAAAACACCCTCAAGAATCCATTTTCCTAATAATCCATCCAAACCACTCAACTCCTCCAAAGCCCATTCCAACCAACCAAGTTACAAACTTCCTTTTCCAACTCACCTTCTCCAACTCAAGCCTATCAACCACCTCTTTAGATACTCCCAACCACCATAGCCATTCCTAATCCAACTCATCTAAGACTTCAACCAAAATTCATATTCACCTCCAAGTCCCACCATAAGGCACACGGCTCCTCATGATTTTCCATGTGCTTTCATTCCTTACCAAATATTATCCAAGTCATCTACCTCCTCCAATATTCCTCCCTCCATGTGCTTTCAAGCACATGCTTCTAATTCCTAGTCATCAACCTCCACCAGGGCCTCAGATTGGTTTTGGGCTAGGATGAACAATCAGAGTTTGGTACAAAAAAGTATGCTGAAAATCATATAAATTAGCCATTTTATGCCATTTTACACGATAAAAATCATAGTTTTTCCTGTTTTTTTTCCAAAAAATTGCTGAAAAATCAGCCCTGGTTCTAAACGAAGTCTGAAATCTCAGCCTTTTTTACCTAAATCAGCCTTTTTTCGCTGACTTCTGAGGCCCTGACCTCCACATGCCTCTTATTTATTCCTTCCGTCCTTCCTTTCCCAAGTCACCAAAGTTGCCAACTTATCCCTCAAAGACTTCATGATTATCCCATCACCTCCTATTCCAAGGCA